AGAGAACTCGAATTGTGGTCAATTTAACCACCGGACTGAACGTGTCCTCATAATCGAGCCCAAGTTTTTGTGAATACCACAGGATACTAAATGGGATTTGAACCTTTCAATCGACCCATCAGCTTTTCTTTTCACCTTGTATACCTATTTGCATGAAATGGGCTTCACCCCATTAGGTTTTGGAACTAACTCCCATGTCTGATTGTGATTTAAAGCTGACATTTCCTCTTCTATTGCTTGAACTCATTCTTGTTTTGTACTTGCCCGCTTAAAAGACTCAGGTTCACAAATGTTGGATTCAACAATAGCTGCGTTTGCATACCTAGAATTGGGTCTCCTGACCCTAGTCGACCTCTTGAGGTTTATTGGATCATCATTATCATTGTCATTAGGTTTTGGTGAGTGAAATACCATTTGCCATGGTTGAGACTCTTGAACTTTGGTTACCTATTCTTTAACGACAGTGTCACCTTCATCAATGTTCAAGTGACTTCTTGAAGATTCCAACCCTTCTTTAAATACATCAGAATAAGGAATAGTTTCATATTAGATGACCACCATGAAGATGTCTCATCAAATACCACGTTTCTCGACACAACAATTCTATTGTTGGGTTCATAACAATGCCACTCTTTTTTTCTTGATCATACCCAACAAAGATGTAAAGAACAACTTTCTTCTCCATTTTATGACCAAAATGGTTGGGTATAAAAACAAAGCGTTTAATCTCCAAAAGTTTCTCTTACGGAGATATAAACAAGATACAAAATCGTGGACGATGGTTGTGAATAAGAAGATAGCTAAAGAGAAGAGAGATCAGAGACGCATGAGATGAACAAGGGAGCAGTGGCACAAGTTTTTTTGTTTGTTTTTTTTTTTTTTTTAACAAAAGCAAGGGAACTTTTGTTGATGAAAATGGATTGTAACATTAATACCAGTTCGTGCAATAAGGGCGTAAGAGCTCCATTTCCTTCTATCTTTATCACTTTTATCTCTTTCCTCTATCTTCTGCTTCTCTCTCCTCTTTTTTTTTCTCTCTTCTTGAACTCCTTTCGTTTCTCCACCGGTGTTGATTCGTTGTTGCTTTCATAAGAAAAGATCAAAGGTGAAGACGATGGAGATGAAGAGATAGAATCTTAGGTATGCATTAGTTCACATGGTGAGAGCTCAAAACTCGGACCAATCGTGAGACCTAGAGGAGAGAGCGTAGAGGTAGAAGAAGACGGGGTATTTCAAAATTTTGGGGGATTTGGTTTCCACCATAGCAGGATTGTGACTATTAAAAATTTATAAATCGATATCTTTACACGACTCCCGTTTAATTTAAGTGCCTTCCGTATTTGTAATTTTTTTTGTTGCTAATTAATTTTAGGGCATGCACAACTGCTAATCCTTTATCCTTCAAATTTTGGAAAACGGACATTATTTTTAGGACATACAAAAAATATGTATCATAAATCAGTGCATATCATTATTAGTGTCATTAAATGGTTGTTTTCTAGTAGTGTAACCTGCATATGTTACATTTTTAATAATTTCGATTAATACTTTATTAAAATTAAGATGCCGTGGCATTTATAAAGATGACTTGACATTTTAGTTCTTAGAAGAACAAATTCAATCGATCTTGGTGGGAAATCGAATTGAATATGTTGTCTTCACCTTCTAGAAACATTGTGTTCTAACACTTTATGTACGTTTTCATACATATCCTTAAAAAATGTCACGTAAGCCGGCTAAGGGCTATAGTTGGTTAACGGACTAAAACAAGACGATTTTGAAAAGTTTATTACCTTCAAGTGAAAAAATAAACAGAGTAACTGAAAATGGATAAACATAACTGCTCATTGGTTATTTATAACATTTTCTCTAAATTTTAAGTGACATTACCTACGATATCCGGTTAAAAAAACCAAAATGAGATGATTTTGAAATGTTCATCATCGAAATAGACAAAAATAAATTTAATACTAAAAAACAAATGAAATAGTTTATTTGATTATTTCAAACATTTCCTCAAAATTCTAAGCATTAATTGAGAAAGAACTCTACACGCAATGGGACATTGTTAGTATGGTGTTATAATTTGTTAAAACTAAAAGTCATATGACGACGAGGTCTAACTACTCTCCCTCGAAAATTTCAAGCATTTAATCGTTGGAATGTGATATTGTTATTTTTTTTAAAATATGAAAAATCATACTTTTTATAATTTTAAAATTTTGCCTTCTATCCAAATATTTTATCTTTTTGACATTTTCATCTTAATTTAACATTTTTTTCACGATATCAATTCTCCCACTTTTGCAACTCATACCGTCGTTCTATGTGGCAGAAGCGGAGCCAGGCTCAAAGCAAAGGGGTATCCTAATTTTTTTTCCTGGGTATCACCGCAACAACTGAGCATGGGGCGGCTCGGGTTAGTTTTTCCTAAAACCGAACCCAAAACCAACAGCCTCAGTTTTGAAAATTTTAAACCAAACCGAACCCAATACCATTGATTTGGTTTTTCGGTTTTCAATTTGTACTTGGGTATCCCGGTTTGGTTTTGGTTTTAAACTCAAACCTTAATCGAATCGTTAGCTAACTTCAAGTATTGTTATATAAACATGAAGTTGAAGTATCTTTTGATACTTCAATCGATTTGGACTTAAAGTAGATATCAAATAAAGCATGAGGATAACAAGTTTATATAATATATGAAAATAACTAAGTTTACATGTGTTTGGCGATGTGGGATAGAATAGTTGGGAAAATAAAAGAATAGAATAGTTGGAAAAATAAAAGATATGTAAACAAATAATTTGTAAGGAGCAAGAATTGATCCTAAGACATTTATTTCATTAAGCCAACACCTTAACCAATAAACAAACTATTTGTTTGTGCTTATAAGTGAAGGGATGCGTATATATACACTAGATAAAACGATTTTTTTTTCTGAAAAATTTACACTACCGAAATTTTTTTGAGGGGTATCTCCTTGGATCCGCCCCTGCTCTGTGGCCCACACATTGACCACAAGACAACAGTCCACCGCTAACCGTATCGCTCTCCTACTGTTCCATTGCATTTCCCACTGAGAGCATAGGTTTTCCACCATCACCCTCCTCTATATTTTTCTCATTATCGGACTGTTGTTCTATTTTGAAAAGTATATTACCCAAAGATAAAAATAAAATAAGGTCAATGATTAAAAATGGAAAAATAAATAGTATTTTGATCATTTCAACATTTTCCCAAAGTCTATACATATTTTTTTTAACCGGCAAATACAAATATTATAATCTATTCCTAAACTAACACATCTAATTTCACCTATGTCCACCACAGGACTTGAACCCTCGATCTCAAAGAGGGAGGGCACCACCTGATATCGTTAGGCTAGAAGCCATTTGGTAAAGTTCTATACATCTATTGAGAAAAAAATCTAAACGCGTTAGAATTTTACATTGTTTGTGGGCGATATAATTTGTGAAAACTGAAAAGTCATATTGAAGACGAGGTCCAAGACTCTTCCTCGTAAATTCAAAGCATTTAATCGTTAGAATGTGATATTGTTTTTGTGGGACAGTGAGTTTTAGAATATGTGAAGAACAAAAAAAAGTAATTCACACTTTTAATAATTTAATATGTTTGCCTTTTATCCTGAAGTTTTAAAAATTTGCCATTTTCGTCCTAAATGAGCGTTAGCTCATGCTTTTAGTCCTCCCCCTTTTGCAACTCTTCGTCAATGTCATCCTCTGCTGCCCACACATTGACCACCGGACACCGTCCACCACTAACCCCATCGCCCTCCTCCTTCTCCATCGCCTTTTCCACTGAGTGTGCATTAGCTTTTCAACCATCGCCCTCATCTGTTTTTCTCATTATCCGACTGATGTAATTCCAAAACAATGAGGCAAGCATTCTTTATCGCAGAGGTCAGTATCGGAACTTTGATTTTTAATTCTAATAATGAGTTTCGATTAAGGATTTGTTTTTCTTGGTGGTCTTTATGCTTCAAGGTTTGGGTTTGATATTGTTATTTGGATCTAGGGTTTGGAAGGTGGCAGATATAGAAATACACTATAATTAGTGTTATGCACTTTCGTCTTTTGGGATTATATTTGAAGATATGGAAGTCTTAACTTATTTTATTCATGGGAATCGAGAAATCTCATAGCTTAACCGGTAGCAGCGGTTTCACTTTTCATATCATTTTGGTTAAGTAGAAGATTTCTAGAGAGTTCTTTTTATTGGTAGCAGCGGTTTCACCTTTATATCTGCGTCTGCGCCGCGCAGACAGAAGAGATCACGCAGATCTGCGGAGAAAAAACAAACGCCCTAGTGCGTTTGTTTTTCTAAAGTCCGCAGACATAAAAAGGTCCGCGCGAGGTCTTCACCACACAAACATTTCACCACACGGACATGGGCCAACCACTTCTAAAGTCTGCTATGTGTTTTAACCTTAAAAAAAAAAAAGACGCGTTCATTTTTTTCCGCCTCCATCTTCCAGACTTCCCACTGTCGACACCTCGCTCCATCTTCGATCTAGCACCGCTCGTCTACCATCGATCACCTCCGATCAGCACCAGCCAAGGCCGCCCTCCACTCCGATCGCTGCACTCTTCTCCGATCCCAGGCGTCCCGACGACCACCTGATACCGTTAGGCTAGAAGCCATTTGGTAAAGTTCTATACATCTATTGAGAAAAAAATCTAAACACGTTAGAATTTTACATTGTTTGTGGGCGATATAATTTGTGAAAACTGAAAAGTCATATTGAAGACGAGGTCCAAGACTCTTCCTCGTAAATTCCAAGCATTTAATCGTTAGAATGTGATATTGTTTTTGTGGGACAGTGAGTTTTAGAATCTGTGAAGAACAAAAAAAAGTAATTCACACTTTTAATAATTTAATATGTTTGCCTTTTATCCTGAAGTTTTAAAAATTTGCCATTTTCGTCCTAAATGAGCGTTAGCTCATGCTTTTAGTCCTCCCCCTTTTGCAACTCTTCGTCAATGTCATCCTCTGCTGCCCACACATTGACCACCGGACACCGTCCACCACTAACCCCATCGCCCTCCTCCTTCTCCATCGCCTTTTCCACTGAGTGTGCATTAGCTTTTCAACCATCGCCCTCATCTGTTTTTCTCATTATCCGACTGATGTAATTCCAAAACAATGAGGCAAGCATTCTTTATCGCAGAGGTCAGTATGGGAACTTTGATTTTTAATTCTAATAATGAGTTTCGATTAAGGATTTGTTTTTCTTGGTGGTCTTTATCATTTGGTTATTTTATTATGTTTCAAGGTTTGGGTTTGATATTGTTATTTGGATCTAGGGTTTGGAAGGTGGTAGATATAGAAATACACTATAATTAGTGTTATGCACTTTCGTCTTTTGGGATTATATTTGAAGATATGGAAGTCTTAACTTATTTTATTCATGGGAATCGAGAAATCTCATAGCTTAACCGGTAGCAGCGGTTTCACTTTTCATATCATTTTGGTTAAGTAGAAGATTTCTAGAGAGTTCTTTTTATTGGTAGCAGCGGTTTCACCTTTATATCTGCGTCTGCGCCGCGCAGACAGAAGAGATCACGCAGATCTGCGGAGAAAAAACAAACGCCCTAGTGCGTTTGTTTTTCTAAAGTCCGCAGACATAAAAAGGTCCGCGCGAGGTCTTCACCACACAAACATTTCACCACACAGACATGGGCCAACCACTTCTAAAGTCTGCTAAGTGTTTTAACCTTAAAAAAAAAGACGCGTTCATTTTTTTCCGCCTCCATCTTCCAGACTTCCCACTGTCGACACCTCGCTCCATCTTCGATCTAGCACCGCTCGTCTACCATCGATCACCTCCGATCAGCACCAGCCAAGGCCGCCCTCCACTCCGATCGCTGCACTCTTCTCCGATCCCAGGCGTCCCGACGACCACCAAACGAACAGGTTTGTAATCGTTTTTTTTTTCACTTCAAACATGAAATTGAGGATTAATGTTGTTGGAAAAACTCTCTAATACACTGAAAACAAAAGAAAGGCTTGCACCTCTTGTTTCTAATTTATAATAATAATAATAATAATAATAATAATAATAATAAGGCTTGTGAAATCAAATTTTGTTGGGTAAATATATTATGAAACCAGATTTTTTTTTTCTTGTTATATGGTTGTTGAAATTGTTTTGATTGTTGTTACGCTGCTTAGTATGATATTTGGTCTCAATTTTGATAAATTATGTATGGTTGAATTGATCTAAATGGAGCAGAAATTAGTTGATAATCACAGCACGCCAAGTGTTTGATTAAAGTCTTCAAATATGCTAGACTTTTTATTTCTAGTTATTTCAAAGTTATTTATTTCTAGTCATTTCAAGCACCTGTTGCAAGTTGCATTGGTTATACGATCAAGAACATCTAACTTGGTGTTATCTTTTTTCTTGGACTCAATGATCTCTCCCAAGGAATGCTAAGACTCTTAAATGCTACCAAAGATTCTTTTCTATTCATCTTTTGTGTTTAGTTTACATGTAAAACAGTCCCAATTTTTGGTGTTTTGAAAGTTGTAATCAATGTAATTGTAACAAAAGTGTGATTTTACTTCAATTTTAATCACCCTTTGATTGTTGATCAAACTTTATAAACTTTATCTTTAACATCATTAGCTTACAAATTTATATGAGGTTAAACATGATAGTTTTATGTTGTAAAAAAAATTTTAAAAAAATGTTGTTTTGGTTGTATGAATTATATTTCAATATTATAAAATTATTTAAATTTTAAAGTTTAAAAACTTTTTTAAGTTCAAAAAAATTGGTTTATTTAAACTTTATTTGATTTTAACAGCCTGCAGACGTATAAAAACAAACAGTCATCTTATTGCAGATTGCAGACGTTTGGTCCACCTCTTTTGCTGCAGAGGCTTGCAGATATGGTCCGCAGACTGCAGACATTTTGGCTTTAGAAAAACAAACAGCACCTTACTAAATGGATCAAAAGTTGGACTGTCCATTAAGTTAAACAACGTAGGGACTAAAGACGTGATCGAACATTGTTTTAGGGATGAAATATGCAGAAAATAAAAGTATTACCCCATGTTAATGAAAAGTGATAAACCCGGTGGACGATTATTGTAATTTAGCCTTTATTAAAATACTTGGTTGAGATCGATTAATGGACATTAAGGAAGATTCAAAACAATAATACAGTAACTTATTATATTTTCATATCCAAGGAATATGTAATATTTTCAATGCGAGAGCTATTAGCTTTTAGCTCTTAAAAAAAAGTTCAAATTTAAATACAAAACTTTGTTTGGGAATACAAGTTTGACGCTTTTACTGTAGAACAAAAAAGTTCTAATCCAAAATGCCTCATGAACTAGCTTATAGTTTTTATGTAATTTTACACCTTTAAAAACTTACAACTACTTTTTCCAAACATTTCTACACAAATAAAAGCTACAACGTTGACGTACCCCTTACCAACTAGTTTTGCCAAACATATCCTAAACTTCATAGATGCTCATGTCTATAGGTATGTTGAAATTGTAAAAGTCAAGAATTTGGACCCCAATTTTTTTAGGAAACTGTTTTTTCAGTTTCTTATAAATCTCTAGGAAAATTCGAAAAGATAATGCATGTTTATTTATCAATAGCCGTTGTTTCTTGGAGTTCCTCTATAAAAAAAAAAGACTACATACTTTCATTTTGATTGTAAATCTAGTCTCAAATTTGTCATACCTTCCCATCACTCATGATGGTTAGAAAAGGATCATCTTCTTCATCTACCAATGATCATAAATATGATGTGTTTTTAAGTTTTCGGGGTGCTGATACTCGTTATGGTTTCACACATGAACTCCATAAAGCCCTCCAGAATGTCAATATCTCTACCTTTTTTGATGATGAAGATATGGAAACGGGAGGAGACCTAAAGCCAGACTTGGAGAGTGCGATTAAATCATCTAGGGTTTCAATCGTCGTGCTGTCCAAGACTTATGCTAGTTCATCATGGTGTCTCAATGAATTGATACTGATCCTTGAGCAACGAATAACATCCAACCAAATTGTTATCCCAGTCTTTTACTATGTTGAGCCCACCCATGTCAGGAAGCAACAAGATACCTATGGAGATGCAATGGCTGTACACCAACAGAACATTGGGGCTGAGCCAGATGCAGAGAAAAGACGTCAGTTGGCTGAAAAGATGGATAGATGGATTAAAGCGCTTGAAGCAGTTGCAGATTTAAAAGGGGTGGACGTAAAGGGAAGGTAAACACTTTCTTAACTGCTTCAACTTTGTTTGATTAACCATAAAATTTGAATGCCGTATTTTCTGAATGCATGTTTCTTAAACTTCAGAAAAATACACATATTATCTAATATAGCTAAATTGGACCAATATCTTTCATCTAATTTTTATTTATATATGATATGATAAATTAATGCATTGGACTTTAAAATTGGATAAATTGCTAATTAATGTGAACCCAAGTGGCCAGTGGGCTGCTGCTACTCTTTTTGTTCCCACCTCTTGGTTTACTCGCCAGATTTCTAGAGATAGTCTACAACCCATGCCATTTTCAGCGCTAGAATGGTGCAAACAATAATTCATCTCCGACCTATTACACCATTTTTTACACAAAAAAATATATTCCTACTTTCCTAGTATAATTACCCTTTTAACTTACACAAATTGTCCAAAAAAAAAATAAATAAACACCCCTTCAATTTAATTATTAGCTTTTCGTCAATTTGTATGACATCCTTTTTGTTTCAATAGGTTTAGAAAACATATATTATCACAGAGTTTTTAAATTGTTAAATAAATTCAAAACACAATGATTAGCACAAAATATTTCATCACTAAGTATTTGATTTTACAAAAAATATTAAAACTTTCAAACAGTTTTGAAACATAAAAGTCAAATTTTATATTTATGATTAACTAATTTCAATATAATTTATAAGGGATATTACAACTTATAATTATTACATCTAAAGTATAACTAGTTAATTAAATAAACTATAAATGTATAAACCTATAACCCGAGGGATATAAATTGCCACTTGAAAGTTTGACGCTATTTGGGTGTAAGGGAGTAGTATAACACCAAATTTTGGTGTTATTATATTCGTTTACAACAACATGGTGTTGGGTTGGAGAGAAAGGGTGCAGAAAATGCTGCACCCTTTATTTTTTTGGTGTCAAAGTTTTTTATTTATTTATTTATTTATTTTTTGTGAAACCTTAATAACTAAAGCTTGTAGATACCGACACGTTGAGAGATACAATTTAAAAAAAAGGAAACATCGATGAATTAACACTTTCATTTAGAGAAAGAAGAAGTGGTTGGCAATTTTAGGCAAGATTTGATAAAAAAAAAAAAAAAGGCTCTCCCATGTGAATTTCTCTTATCCAATTCCCAGGACCGGTCCATTGATTTTCCATGCCCAGGGCAAGAAAATAATGCCCTCAAAATAATGCCCTCGACAAGACCACACAAGTCTATTTGCGTTGAATGAGTCTGTAGTGTTTAGGGTGAAGTTTATATATGTAAAAAGTTGATGCAGTTGTTTTAAATTTGTTAAATCTATACAAATGATACTCATTAACGAGTATTTGTAGTTGCTTTCGTTTTATTAAATTTATACAAGCAATACTATCTAGGTTTTGTTCTAATTGCTTTCATTTTATCAATATTATCCAACACCCCGGTTACCCAAAGTTCTAAATATATAGCAAAAAAGAACACCTCCTCAAAAAAGAGCTCCAAACAATAAACGAACTATCATTGGATTTTCAAAAGCTAGAAAACAAAGAATAACACATTAAAAATACTTTGTGACAGCACCACGCTTCAACTTTTCACTATGCTTTAAGGACTACCTGTAATGACTGGTCACAAACAACAAATCAACAGTAAAAAGACAACACAAAAGCCCATATCTAATACCCCACATGAAATGAAAACCACATGTATAAAAGAAATTACATAAAAAATTACACAAAAACTGTAAGAAATAAAAAGACCAAATTGAATTCAGAAACCAAACTCTAAAACAAACCACAAAATTCTGATTAAAGTCACATTATTAAAAATTAAACTCACCCAAACAATAGAACTGTCGAAGAGAAATCAGAAATCGAAATATCTAATACGTAACTCTTGAAACAAACCACAAAAATCAGATTAAAAGATGATTGATGGCAGTTTTCACGAGACATAAGAACTTACATTTGATTTGTTGAGAACGATTCTTTCAAGCTCTGCGATAAGACAGCCACACGACTTTAATCAATCAAATTTCGTTGAACTAACACAAGACTCCTCCAGTTACTGTGTGTGGCTTCATCATGCCATCCAATGTCTTTGAGACTTTGTACATTTTTTTACTGTAATCAGATGTAGAAGAAATAAAATAGATAACAAATAAAGCAGATTTCGAGATTAAACTTACTTAAATATGATTTCTGAAACAACAATATCTAGCACAAATAGATGAGAAATCTGGTTTGATTTCTGAAAAACTAAAACAACCACCAAGATACAATCACAACAAAATCACTAAATAGGAAATTAAGAATCGATTGACTAATATCGATTGATTGAAAGTGAAATTCGAGAGCTAATATCGATTCTACAAATCAAAAACCAAGATACAAGAAAGAGCTAATATCGATTGACTGAAAGAGTGAAAGTGGAAAATAAAAAACCAGTTCTTACTTTTAGTATCAAAGACGATTCTAGACATTGATTTCTCTATCGATAATAGCGCTAACGAGCAACGAGTTTCTAGGCACGACGTTTCATTTCTCTATGTTGGGAACTAATCGATTGATTGTTTCATGCCTCTTCTTCCCCTGATTTCTTTCTGGTTCGTTAATAGATAATATGTGGGTTAAGTTTATGGGAAATTCTTATATATATAATGGATATTGCTGGACTTATTTGATGCCCCAAAATTTCTGATGCCTTGGGCCTAAGCCCAAGTAGCCCATGTATTGGGCCGGCCCTGAGGCAATTCCTGTTTGTAAGTTAATAGCCTAACGTCTAATTAGTACACCAATAACAATAACAATATCCACTTAATGGGTTAAGATGAGGTTAGATGTAGGTAACTTAATTCTACTAGCGGTTAGGGAGACTACTTCCATTGATCGCCCCATCATAACAATAATACACGATTCCACACTAGATTATCTCCATCATATAAAACATCAACTCACAATCAAGAATAAGTCAATAAGCAAATAATAAGGTGTGAGGCCGTGCAGAAGACAAGGTGATGTAGATGAGGGGTGGGTAATTGGTCCCAAAAAAATACTAACAAAGAAAATTACAAACCACAACCGTCAATGAGGGAAAAATGGTCAATTGTTACAACTCTTACAGATTTCATTTTATGGTGTTAACCGGAGGGACCTTGAACATAATCAAATTGAGAAAAAGGACCGTTTATGGAAATAACTGTATTTGACTACCGAAACTAAAGAAATCGATAATCCACATGGACAATTTTTTCAGTTTAGTCTATTATAATTCTTACCGTTTCAATACCATACCATCGATTACTGTATCACAAGTATTTTAAATACTATGAAAAAACACTTCTACTTCTAGCAGTATAGTATAACCTGGCATGTTGTTTATAGAAATGCTTAGCCACATCAAGATTTTAGCTTGATGAAACTCTAGAAACATAATAAAATTTGGTTTCCCACTAAAGATATATATCTTATATTACATTCATGGCTCTGGTCTTATTATACATTAAAATTATGACCTTATATAGCAGGTGCATATGGTAAGAACTGCAAATATGATATAAGTTTGATGTGAAAAACTTAACTAAACATGATAGCTTTATAATATGATATAAATTTGATTTAGTTCTTTACATAGATTAAATCTATAAATATGGTATTTCAGTTTATTTGGATTGTTCTTTGCGGTTCTTATTAAACTCGTGTTTCAGGCCAGAGGCGGAGTTTATTAAAGAAATTGTCAAGGATATCTACAGTAGATTATGTATTTCCTCAAGGATTCCTGTGCCACAACTTTTTGGGATTGACGATTCCATTAATTCTCTGACTTCATGGTTGAATGATGAATCCTCGCATACAGCAGACATTTACACTATTTGGGGTATTGCTGGGATCGGGAAGACGTCTTTAGCCAAATACGTCTATTGGTTACACTCTCATGAATTCGACACAAGCAGCTTCATTGGAGATATTAGTAGGAGATGCAATAGTTTTAATGGTTTGCTTGATTTACAAAAACAACTTTTTGATGACATTTTTAAACCAAATTCAATTCAAGTTCACGAGGTTTCTCTATACATCCCAATGATAGAAAATGCATTAGCCAGTAAAAAGGTGTTTCTTGTTCTTGATGATATTGATAACCTCGACCAATTGAATGCATTACTTGGAAGCAAAGGTTTTCAAGCAGGGAGTAAAATCATCATAACAACAAAGAACAAATGGTTGACAAAGAGTTGTGAACTATTCAAAAGGTCTGTTAAACCCAAGAATACAAAGCACTTTCTTCAAGGCTTAAATACGAATGAATCACGACGACTTCTGTGTTTTCATGCATTCATGTCCAATGATCCCATGACAGGTTATGAAGAGGTGTTAGAAAAACTTGTGATGTATTGTGATGGACATCCATTGGCTCTTGAAATTTTGGGCAGGTCACTGCATAAAAGAGATGTAGCTTACTGGGAGGGCCACTTGGAAACATTAAAGAAGGAAAATGGTTCCCCTGTAAATAATATACTAAGAATAAGCTTCGACTCTTTGCTGTCCGAAAATGATAAGGACTTGTTTAAGCATATTGCTTGTTTTTTTGTTGGAGTGGATAAATATTTTACTGAAGCAATTTTAAAAGCATGTAATATAAATACAAGTTTTGGGTTCACAAATCTCTTTGACAGATGCCTTCTTAGCATTGAAGAGAATAACATATTGATGATGCATCAGTTGCTTCAAGAGATGGGAAGATACGTAGTACGTGAAGAATCACCAAACAAGCCATGGATGCGAAGTCGATTATGGTGTCATGAAGAGTCATTCGAAGTGTTGAAACAACAAAAGGTAAGAGGCCATGTATACTTGTTCAGAGTATTTTTGTATCGTCTATATATACATGGTGATGGCATTTTTTAATTCTTTTGCATTCCTTTTATTCTTAGGGTACCGAAAATGTTTTAGGCCTAGGCCTAGACATGAGATTGCTCAAGAAAGAGAAGTCATGTGGATCAATTGAGTTGAAAACGGATGCCTTGAGTAACATGGTTAATCTAATACTGCTACAACTTAATGATGTGCAAATGAAAGGGACTTACAAGAAATTTCCTGAAAAAATAAGATGGTTGTGTATACATGGGTTTCCTTTGAAGTCGATACCTTCAGACTTACCGATGGATAATCTAGTGGCTCTGGACTTGTCATATAGCAAGTTTGAGTCATTTGACATTTATTGTAGTAATCCAAAACGACCTCGGAAGAGGCAAAAGGTAACACATCTGTCTTTATTATTATTCCATGTTGAGTTGATCAAATTCAATACTATTCTAACTTATCTTCATGTCAGCAGTTGATTGGATCACATTCAAAAGAGATAAGGTTGCTAAGATCATTAAAATTTCTTAATTTAAGTTTCTGTGAAAAGCTTTGTAGTCTGGACTGTTTTGACGGGCTCCCTGCACTTGAGTGGTTAATAGTTACAAATTGCGTTGGTTTGTTGGAGATTTCTGAATCAATTCAGCAATGTGTTGAACTTGTCCATATTAATTTGAGCTACTGCATCAAGCTTGGAAAACTTCCAAGAACCATATGCATGTTAAAGAAGGTTAAAACATTATTGCTAGAGGGCTGTAGAATCGGTCCTCAAATCGAGGTTATGGACATGGATTCATTGGTAAACAAAATTGGTATAAACGCAGAAACATTTTTCTCCGCAATTATGAACTCCATACCAACAGATTCCAAGTTCTTTACGAATTTACCATTATCTTTAGTAAAATTGTGGCTTGGAAATAATAATTTGACCACAAAATCCTTTCCCATGGACTTCAGTTGCCTATCCGTGTTAAAAGAGTTATGTTTAGATGACAATCCTATCAGTTCCATGCCCAATTGTGTGAGAAGCCTTCCTAGACTTGAGCTACTTCATATGGCTGGCTGTAGCATGCTGACGTCAGTCGAGTATCCTCCACCTACACTAAGATATTTGAACCTCCTTTCTATTGATGGCTGGCTACAAAAAGTTGTATTTGATCCAGAAATGTCCCCACTTAGGTTGGGAATGCTTGGACAACAAATAGTAATTCCATGTGATATCCAAGGCATAGTCAAAATTGAACGAATGACAGCTGTTGAGGAAAAGTTATTAGACAGTTTGGGCTGGACTAATCCAGACTTTCCTTACGAGAAGTGCATGGAAACTTTTTTTGCAGATAAAAAACCAGAAGAATCTAAAAATAAGGTTTGTTCTAATTAACTATATATCTTCATTTGTGTGAATATAGTTATATGATTTTTGCTCATTTTATAACCTAGTGTGTGTGTATACATACATATATATATATATATATATATATATATATATATATATATATATATATATATATATATATATATATATATATATATATATATATATATATATATGACAGATGTGTTATGAATTCGGAATATTCACCACGCATTATATGGGGAAAGAGCAACCGAATTGGATTACAAAACGAAGCAAGGGGCCATCAATATCATTTACCATCCCATCACCTCCTTTCAATCTCAGGGGATTGAATTTGTGCTTTGTAGAGATGCTGCAGGATCTGTTTTCTCCAGATGTGTCAGTGGTTTGTACTTCGCCAACGATTAAAATTAATAATACAACAAAGAACCTCACCTGGATATACACGACTTCTCTTAATGAATTCCAAGTAGATGGAGAGTGTCTTATATTGCTAAGCCATTGGATGTTCGGGATAAATGAGATGGAACCTGGTGATCATGTTACTATAACTGGAAAAGTGGACATTGGATCTAGGAAGGAGTGTGGGGTGAGTTTTGTGTATGATGATAAAAAAAAAGGATGAAGAAGAAGATGTTTTGGGTGATTACAAGTCATGGAATCATATCATTGGTGGAGATCTCTCCGGATTTCAGTTAACAACAGGAGAATATATCTTAGACTTTGGAGGATATGAGCGGGACGACATTGCAATTGACAATTCTTTATATGAATTTGTTGGAAATGGTGCAGTCTATAAAGGTAGATGTCGTTACTATTAAAATTACTTTTTCTTGTGCCTTGCGTACGTATTACTTTTTATCTATTTTTTATGCACCAAGAACATAGTGGAAAATTGGAAATGAGGCAACCCACAATACTATATATCCAACAACATCCATGAGTTATTTAAAAACCTAATTATTTTAAATAAATGGATCATTGATCCAAACAAAGACTTTTATTATTGGTTTTATCAATTTTTAAAATATAAGTTCATTTTTATCGAATATAGAAACTTAGAGTTCTCCTTTACTTTTTAAATGGATCGACCCTGGTGGATAATGAATAGACACTATGTTTTGATCTGCCTAAATAGGATGATTTGTTGACAAGTTTTTTAATATGTTGGATCACATAAATATATTGGATCGGATTAGATCAGGTTCAAAGTCATCATTGTGAGGCCTAGCTACTAGTGGATGTATGCGCATTATAATTAACATATTACTTTTTATCTCTTTTATCAGAAAAGCAAATGTGGTTTAGAGCTTTCCCCCAAAAGAAGTCCGACATAGATGGTCACACACTTGAGGTATATTTCTGTATATACCCAAACGTTTTTACAACTTGAATAAAAAGGCACACATGCACAACCAATTCAATATGTTATCAAACAAACTTCTTAAATATTGATTAGTGATGTAACAAAATAAAAGGAGTTATAACCTTGAAATATATGCTTGGAAATTGACAAAAAGAAAAAGAAAAAAACCAGCTAACATTAATTTTACCAATGATTTGAATCAAAGGAAATCCATGGGTAAAACCCATTACCATGGATTTGACCCCTGGGTAAAGTGGCTGCTTATCTGCTTTGTTGTTGTGTACTTGTTTAGAGTATCCACAATGGTGAGTTCAATGGGAGAGTTGAATGAGGTGGCAAGTCCATGTGTCATTCAATGGATGAAACTCAACCATTGTGAGATGCCACCTTGGCATAAGGCATTCAATGGATTTGGAGTTCAATGGTCATTGAACTCTTCAACGGGAAAAAGAAAAGTTTTAATCCTTAAATATTTACTATAAATTATATTTTGTAACATTCTATTAAACTTTGTAGAGTTCAATGCATTGCAGAGAAAACAATAATAGAGTTATATGAATTTAAGAATGATGATGTGGCAATCCATTAAACTCTATGGATTTCAATGCATTGTGGATGCCCTTATGATGTATAATTGGAGGCCATCATAGATGGGCTTAAAGGAAATTTGTCCCAAAATCTTGTCGATTGGGGGAAGATTCTCTGTACCTATCTGTATTTTTTTTGACCGGGGGTTTTAGAACCGAACACTTTCTCATATTTTGTACCTTATCTTCGAGGGGATTTCTTGATAAAGATTAATCAGTTTTTGCAAGTAGGTTTAACTTTTTAATAGATATAATATACATAATATCATTTCCTAAGTCAAAAAGATTAAATATACCATTATTTCTTTAACACTGGAGCAGGAACAAGACAATGGCTTTGTGAAAGAAGGGAAGAATACCATCGTTGGGGACAACAGCAGTGGTATCTCATTCAAATCTGATGATGAAGGTTCTATTGGCAAGGAAGAAAATAGTCATGGGTGCAAGGATAACTTACCTCCGTTCAATCTTAGTGTTCTTCAATATCTGGATTGTTTACTCGAAGGTATATCCTACTAATGGTGGAAATTCATGTACAAAGTAGTCAACTAGTCATGCTAGCTACTGAAAGTCATTATTACTCGATGGTAGTTCTACTATTTCTAATCTCTATTTTTTTTGTAGGTCCTGACGGAGAGCAACTGTTTTCTTTCCCCTTGAAAAAGATGAGGGATTTAGATAACATTCTCCAGCTTGGTTCTTCTGATGAACAAGATGATGCGGAGGTGGATTACATGAAGTCATCGTAGCCCAGCTCTTCAGGAACGAACTCAAAAGGGTAAAAAGAAGACTGCTAATGATGTGAGATAACCAGAATTTGAGATCTAGAAGCCGTCAGAGGTGCCAGTTTATGGATCTGGAGCAGATATTGGAATTTCCTTCTTATGTTGAGAAGGAACTGTGTATTGATAAAGGTAAAAGCTATTGATGTAACTGAGGGGACCTGTGAGCAACAACGCTCTTGGTATCTCAATAATACGAGGACAATTGAAGCCGAGCATTATGAGTTGGAGTTTGGAAAGTCAATTGGAGCACTCAGAAGCTCTAAGAGAAGAAGCTCACGTAATGAATTTTTCGTTGGAAGAGTCCAAATCTGAACTTGCGAGTAGACTAGAGGTGTTGGAGTCTGAAAAGAAGCAGTTGGAAGAAAAGATTGTCATGCTGGAGGCTGCTGATGCTGAACGAATGGAGCAGTTGAAAGTTGCCACAGAGGGCTTAACTATGTGCTGTGCCGATATTGAGTGGGTCTTAACTGTGTGTTGCATGATTTTCTTTTAATCTAGCTACGAGTCCTTTTGTCTTTCATCCAAGATTCAGGTTCTGTTTGGGTAGGTTGTTTGGTTAGATCCTCGGGGTGCTAGTTTGTTGGTGCCTCAGTGGGATGTTTTGGTTCAAGTCTCACATTGCTTCGTGAGTGGATTCCCAATTTTGTTGATGAAATGTTTCTAAAACTAGACCTGAAAATCACGAAGCGCGGAAGTGATACTTGATCAGTTATAGATTTATCAGTATTCTGCATGATAGCGAAAATCACACAATCAACATGCTAGATAAGAAAAATGTTGTGAATACTAGTGATAAAGAATGAAGGAAACTTGACTTAATTGGCAGGAGCACCTATGAGGAGGTATAACATCCTCCTCTTGAAAAATTATGATCAAAGGCCTTACAGAATGTGTAATTTTGACTTCAATATTGTAAAATAACTAAACTGAAGGTACTCGCACCACTACTGGAAAATTGGTAATAGAGTACACCCCCATCTAATACGGTTGTAAAAAAACCCGTATTATAAAGGAATAAATAAATATAATACACACAATTGCAGCATCTAATACGGTCAATGAGATGTACTAGAAACAAAATCAAATAACTAAAAAAATACGCCCCCATTTTGATTAAGTACGACTAATACATAAACATGATCAACTTCCTCTTTAGTTAGAAATCCAACTTTAATGCCTTTATCCTTGCTGCTACAACTTTGATCCTGTTTTCAACTATTAAAGTATTTGTCCCTAGAAAACCTCCTGTTGACTACCAAGGAGCTAGAGAAGCAAAACCAATCACAGAATTTGCACTCAAACAAGTGAAGACACTCCTTAAAGACAAATTAAGTGGAAAAACTACAATTACTGAATCAAGTGTACAGGTTTGTATGATGATATAAAACCATTATTCTCAAAGGAATGGAATTGATAGGGGAATGGAATGACTGATTCCATTCTTGTCATAGAAAAGAAAAGAGAGGTACATAACAGAAGCATATAGAGATGTGCATCAAAAAAGTGTACAGGTTTGTATGATGATATAAAAGTACAATTTTACCCTTGGGGTAATATATTTTTAATTTGACCATTTTGCCCCTTTATAGGCCATGAAAGCACAAATGGGAGATCTTGGACAGAGCTTAGGAATGACCCAAGGTTTGGGCAACCAGTTCAAGCAATAATCGAATTCCCATTTGGCCCTCATCCTTCAGAAAGCTGCAGTTTTGTAGACTAACTATGCCAAAAGGTCAATATTACCCCTCAATTTTTAATAATAATAATTGTAGCAGTTCTTGTTCAGTTTATTGATTCAGCCACTTGACTATTTTCTGTATTTTATCGTTTTTATTTTCTGTATTTTCATCCTTTTTTGTAAGAAGAATTGTGGGGTAACACAAGTGACTTTTTTTATTTTTATGTTTTATTATTTTAGGTTTGTTATCGGTTTATTTTAAAAAATTACCAAACATCAAAAACCAATAACCAGATGAGGTTCAAGTTTCAATAGATTACATGCAAAGTTTGGACCATAAAAATGGTCAAATGGAATGAACAGATTACATTCAAATGATTTTTCTTTAAAAATTTTTGTTTTATTTTCTGTATTAAACATAATGAAAGCTTGTTATAACCAAAGGTCATAAACAAAATAACTTTTCCAATTTAATTAGAATAAGAAATTTTAGATTATTATTGTAAAAAGGATGAATCTTTTGTAGTTTATATTTTACAGTGTACTCTATAGATTATTTTTAAATACAGTTAATGAACTTTTATTCCATGTCGAGTACAAGGGAAGAAAATACCATGAGGCAATTAAATTCAATAGGATATTTTTATGAGTAAAAATACTTGAAATAAAAAATTAAATAAGTTCATTTGATTAAGCCCCACAGCAGAATTCATTCTTTGAGACGCTTTCTCCCTTTGAGACGCTTTCGGCATATGACCAAACAAATTCATCGCCATTTTCGCTCTATTACTTAGAGTTGTTTATACGAAACCTTAGCCTTCGGTCGACGACGCCTCCACCTCTGGCCAACGACGCCTCCGCCTCCGGTTGACGACGCCTCCACCTCTGGTCTCCAGTCGACGAGACTGACGAAGTCTCCTACTCCGGCCTACAGCCGCTTCTGCCTCCTTCTTTCACGTTGTTTACAGGTACGCTCAGACTTTGGGTGTAGTTGATTTATTCGTTGATTAATGTTGTGTTTATGACAATGTCTTCTCTGTGTACGAAATATTACTTCATATTTCTGGTTGATAACCCTAGAAAGCATCATCGACTCTGTTTTGAACTTCATCTGCTGTTGCTCCAAAAAGAAAAAATTGTCCTCTCCAACTTCCTTCCTGATTTCAACATTAGCCCCATCTAATGTTCCTATAATCGGGCATCCATTGAGTGCAGATTTCATATTAAGAATATTTCAAAACCACTCAATGATCACACATCCTCCTCTATAACTATTCGATTTCACATTAATATCTAATCACATGCATCATTGACTATTTACTAAACTCGATTTCAATTATGCAGAAAGATAAAAGACCTCTCATTGAACCATTACCAATATCGACCCAAGCTGCTCCTATTCTTCTTCTTCATGACCAGGTAGTCACTCTAACTTACAATTTTGGAAAGGTATTGTTTTCATTTATAGTTAATTTCCCATAAAAAAAACTACATATATTAAAATATAATCTTTTAATTTGGACTTCAGGAAAAAGAGAAAGAAAACGTGAATGTTGAAGAAGCTAAAGAGCATAAGAAGAAAGCAAAGAAAAAGCAAGAGTATGAGGTGCATAATTTTCTTCTTTTGATTTCTTTGAAAGATATTATATATTAACATGCCTTAATAAGATAAAAAGTTACAATGAAAATATATGAAAGTTGGATGCTATTTTTAGCATTTAGCCCACAGAAATATACTGTATTTTTTACTATTTTTTGGTGGCAGAAAAATCTTCCTAGAAAGAAAAGAAGGAAACTGGAAGCATCTAAAGAGATGATGGGGGATGAAGCAGAAAATAGGGTATATGGCACAAACCTACGTCTCTCTCTCTCTCTCTCTCTCTCTCTCTCTCATTGTTATTATTTTCATAGCAATACAATTTTCATGATAATCATTTGGTTTCTTAATGTAGGTACAAAAGGAAAAGTTATACAAAACGATGCAAGAACCCATGATGCCAAAGAAACTGTTTAAGAGCCACAACATTCTGGAGTCGTTTCCTATTGTGTCTGAACCCGGGATCTTCAACGCTGTGAGTGTTGAAACCGTGATTAGCTCAGTGGCCATTATGGAGATATTGAAAAAAGAACAACTTGATATTAGTTGTATTCTCTGGTATCAAATGTAAGTACTTTAACATTTACGGTATTAATGTTTCATATTATTTTACCATTATAATATATATTGTGTTTTCAGAATGCTACATTCACTCATGCTTGTATCAAGAATGGATAACAAATGTGGTTTTATAAACCCACAATGTATCACGTCTACGAGATGTGAATACGATGATAGGGGTGAAACAGATCATGTCATCAATGATCTTGTTGATGTGATGAATTTTCATGAGGAAAAACAATTTTTTCTTGCACCATATTGGGAAAGGTATGATATTCTAAATGTCTTTACTGTTATGATATTTTTAATCAAAAGTTGTTTATGTTTAGTTTGTTTAATCTTTATTAGGAGACATTGGATGTTGATAGTGATTTATCCTCATCAATATAAAAGCTACATTTTGGATTCTGCCAGAGGGACAAAGACATTGAAAGACTACACAATAGTTGAACATGTGAATAAGTAAGAAATTTATTATTTTAGTATTTGAAATGATATATCTTTTTATAAATTTTAACAAATCATTGTTGTTTATTTTTGTTTTAGGGCTGTTACAAGGTTTAAAAAAACAAAAACCAACAAATCATGTTTGTGTCCAATGACTTGGATTTTCCCCAAGGTAATTAATCTTATTAACTAATATATATATATATATATATATATATATATATATATATATATCCGAAAAGAAAACTCTCATATATATATATATATATATATATATATATATATATATATATATATATATATATATATATTAGTTAATAAGATTAATTACCTTGGGGAAAATCCAAGTCATTGGACACAAACATGATTTGTTGGTTTTTGTTTTTTTAAACCTTGTAACAGCCCATATATATATATATATATATATATATATATATATATATATATATATATATATATATATATATATATATATATATATATATATATATATATATATATATATATATATATATATATATAATTGTTTTAGTGTAATCAACAATTGTCCGATTGGGAGTGTGGTTACTACGTTATGAACTGGATGAATGAGTTTGTACTTTTTCGACAACATGGATTTCCGAAAGTAAGTATATTGTTAGATATATTTTTTTTTTCATTTTTGTTTATTGTAATAAAGGCTCACCTTTGTTAAATAACAAATTTTTTATCTTAATTTGTTTGTAGAACATTTGGAAGGACAAAAAAACATTTTCTAGTGAGGAATTGGAGGAACGTGTTAAAACATGGATGAGAACTTTTGGTGATAAAGTGAAGCCTTTTTGTAAGGTACACAAATTGTATTTCATGTTGTATTTGCTCATATTTTTTATGTTCTGGAGAAGTTTTCACCCTTGCATTGCTATAGATGAAGTTGTTAATGGCCAAGGTCTTATAATTTGAGTTTTCTTCATTAAAAGTTATTTGAGATTTTGAATCCTAAGTTTTCTTGTTAATTTTTGTAGGCATACAATGAATCAACCACAAAGGGGAAAGAGAGGTTAGAGGTGACAAAGGGGAAAGAGAGGTTAGAGATGTGACATTAACAAAATTTTTTCTGTTTAATGAACTAAGTTCATTGTAATTTTTTTTTTCTATTTCTGAAAATGAAAACATGATCAGTGATGTCCCACTTCTTATGGTTGGAATGGAATCATATAGTAGGTTTGTATTTTGTAGAGATTGATCCATGGTAATCATATAGTAGCTTTGCAGAAATTGAAAAGTTTGTTTCAGTTGGAATGGTGATCCATGTGTTCCAGAGCATCCATGGACTGGAATTGACTGTTTAATAAGGCTGGAGTGGAATTGGAGTGGAATTGTCTGTTTAATAAGGCTCTGGAATGCAAAGGGGATGTGAGACATCAAGTACGGTTGTTTATTGGTGTATTAGATGTGTATATATGGCGTATTAGATGATTGTATGTGTAAAATAGATAGGATAATATAATACGGTCAAATAGCCGTACTCTATTATGCATGTAATCTAATACACCCGTCTACTAATACACCCTCTATGTACGTATTATATTCACAATTTCAACCGTACTCTATTAACCTTTTTCTAGTAGTGCACCTTGGTGAACTTCACCTGGTCATGCAACATTTTAGCCATTTCATATGCTTTAAAAGGAAACTACTTCTCGATAAATCATTGAAGATAAATAATAATATTATGCCCAAAAGTGCATTGCTTCAAACTTGTTTAACTGGATAGATTAGCAGTCATGAGACATTAAACAAAGTTGACAAGGAAAACTGCATGCATAACAAAGAACATAAGCAATCTAAATTTGAATCCAAATAATGCATGATTTCAAAATATTAAGCTTAACATCCACATTCAATAATCAAGCTCTCAATGAAGACTTTGGAATTTTGGATCCATGATTGAGGCTAAAGTTGACAGTCTTGTTTGACCTTTGGTGTTCTTTATGAACTTTATGTTGGATAAAATAGGGTTTATGTCGGAGATCTGGATATCCCTTGGATCGTATGAACACTTTCCAAATTGATATTTCTACCCTATGACTGGGTTGCAAGAAATTCGATTTAAGATAATTCAAGAGGACATTTATGATTCTTGGCATATAAATCGTAAGCCAAATTGTTCAAAGGATTCTATGTTTGTTTGATGAAAACGAGAGCTAATGATTTTTCGTATCTCTCATCTCAAAGAGAAGTGTCGTTTATATAAAAACGTGATTAGGGTTTCATTAGCACGACCGCAGCCAGCGGTGCCTCTGCCCCTTGTACCCCGCTAGGGGCGCTGGGCACTACCCCTTTGATTCGATCTTATACATGCGTGCACTCTGCACAAAACCATACATATATTAGATAGAAATTATGAAGCCTCTTAGCTCATATATTAGTTCCAATTACATAAAATGACATGGTGACACTAAAATCACCAACACATGGGTTGCTTTAACAGATGGGAGATTCATAGTAAGTCAAGAAGCACCTCAGAAGCCATGGAAGCGAAGTCGATTATGGTGTCATCAAAGTGTTGAAACATAAAATGTTAAGAAGCCTTGTATACTTGTTCAAATTATTTTGTACCGTCTATATTATACATGTATGTATACCAATTTTAAATTTGTTTGCATTTCTTTTCTTCTTAGGGTTCTGGAAATGTTCTAGGACTCACCCTTGACACAAGAATGCTTGGGAATGACAAGTTACGTGAAACATTTGAGTTGAAAGCAGATGCATCGAATAAGATGGATAAGATGATGCTATTGTAACTCACTTATGTGCAAATCAATGGGTCTTACAAGAACTTTCCAAGAAAATTAAGATGGTTGTGTATGCATGGGTTTCTTTTGAAGTTTATACCTTTCGACTTACCTGCGGAGAAACTAGTTGCTCTCAACCTGTCATATGTCATATAGCAATATTGAGGCATTATGCATTTGTTATAGTATTCCAGAACAATCTCAGAAGAGGAAAAATGTAACTTATCCACATTTATCTTTCTTCCATATTGAGTTGATGAAGTTGACTACTATTCTAACATATCTCCATTTCAGCAGTTGACCGGCTCATGCTCAAAAGACAAAAAGTTGCTTGGATCATTGAAGATTCTTAACTTAAGTTTCTGTTATCAGCTTCGTAGCTTGGTTGAGTTTGAAGAACTCCCCGCACTTGAAAGGTTGATAGCTAAAAATTGCATCAGTTTGGTTGACATTTTCTAAATCAATTGGGCAATGTGTTGAACTTTTCGTCATTGATTTAAGCGCCTGGTTAAGTTTGAGGAACTCCCCGCACTTGAAAGGTTGATAGCTAAAAATTGCATCAGTTTGGTTGACATTTTTGAATCAATTGGACAATGTGTTGAACTTGTGGTCATTGATTTAAGCTACTGCAACAAGCTTGGAAAACTTCCAAGAACTATAAGTGCGTTAAAGAAGGTTACAACACTATTGCTAGATGGTAGTAATACCGTTTCACCGAAATTGTACAAGGATAAGAAAAATCTCATAAGCACAAAAACCTCCACCTCTCTGGAGTCTATATGGTGTGATTCAGAGGCTTCAAGTGATTGGAAGTTAATTACCTTACCTAGTAGGGGTATACCACGTCATCTGAATTTCATTACACTTCAGTTTTTGAGGTGTTTAAGGTTGTCAGTTAATAATTTTAATGAATCCTTTTCCATTGACTTCGGTTGCCTACCCATGCTGGAATTGTGTATATATGAAAATATTATCGTTTGCTTGCCCAATTATGTGAGAAGTCTTCTTAGTCTTGAGATTCTTGATATGGAAAACTGTATAATGTTGGCACTAGTGGAGCATCCTAAGCATACACTAGGAGAGTTAAGCATCTATTATATATATGAGCCTTTGCTACAAGAGGTTGTATTTTATCCAGAAATGTACCCACCTATATTAATACAATCGTGGAATCCCTTAGGATCTTTGTCCAAGGCTTATGATACTTGCATAAACACAAAAACCTTTTCCTCCGCCATTATGGGGGATATACCACATGATTCAAAGTTCATTACACTCTATTTTTGGTGGTCTTTAGTAAGGTTGTCACTTGCAAAGAGTAAATTGTCCACCGAATCCTTTCCCATCGACTTAAGTTTCCTAACTATCCATGTTAAAGGAATTATGTTTAGATGAGAATCCTATCGTTTCACCGCCCAATTGCATGAGAAGCCTTCCTAGGCTTAAGTTGCTTAGTATAAGAAACTGTCAAATACAATTGAAGGCTATACCACATGATTTAAACATTACATTCTATTTTTTGTGGTTTTTAGTAAGGCTGCCACTTTCAAAGAGTAAATTGTCCACCGAATCCTTTCCCATCGACTTCAGTTGCCTATCCATGTTAAGGGAATTATGTTTATATGAGAATCCTATCGTTTCACTTCCCAATTGCATGAGAAGCCTTCCTAGGCGTGAGTCGCTTAGTATAAAAAACAGTGAAATAAAGTCAAAATTGTTAGGGACTTCTTCAGTTAAATTTGAAGGATTGGTTGAAATCCAACCAATGGAAGGTGTTGAGGATAAGATATTTCATAGTTTGGGTTGGACTAAGTTGGCCTTTCTTAAGGAAAGGCATGTGGAAACTTCTTTTTGGGTCTACAAGACCAGAGGAATCTGAAATCAAGGTTCGCTTTAGTTAACTCATCTATCCTGTTGAGATTATGTGTGTATTTCTTGTTATTATGGTGATTAATTAAGGTGGTTGTATTTGACAGATGTTTTATGAATTTGGAATATTCAGCACAATTTCTGGAAGAGAAGAAATGCTGATTTGGATTATGGATACAAGCAAGGGGCCATAAATAACATTTACCATCCCATCATCTCCTAATTAGCTCAAAGGATTGAATTTCTGCTGTGCACTGTATACCATTTCCAGATTGTGAGTTCCATCATCTGCCAGTGATCATAACTAGTTATATTACAAAGAACCAGACCTGGATGTACAAACATTGCATTGATGATATTGGTGTGGGTGAAGAATATGTCATATTTTTGAACCATTAGATGTTTGGGATGAATGAGATGGAAGGTGGTGGCTGTGTTGCTATTGATGTAGTAGAGAAACTTGGAGGTAATGAAGTTACAAACGAGTATGTGTGAGTTTTTTGTTTAATGATGGAAACACGGATGAAGAAGACACTTTGAGTGATGACAAGTCATGAAATCACATCATTGATGGAGATCTTACCGGGATTCAAACAACAGAATAATACATCCTAAACATTTTTGTGGATCATGGTATCATGAGCAGTGTTTTTAAAACCAGACCAGCCAATTCAACCGATTCAATCAGGAACCAGCAAGGTTACCGGTTTCTTAAGGGCTAAAAACCGCTTGTAAGCCGAACCGGTAAAAACCGGCGGTTTTCTTAAGAACCAGAAAAAACCGGAGTGGTTCAACCGGAAACAAAACCAGTTTTTTAAAAATTTGGCTTACTCACAACATAGAACAAGCCGGCTCAAAGGAGCCATCCTATTCACTGAGGTGTCAATTTGATTACCTATGCTGTGGAATACTCTTTTTATAAGCAAACACAGCCCTCTATTTCTATTAACCTATCGATGTGGGATGTATTTCATATTCAAACTTTATACTACCACTTCCTTTACAAGCAATTTGCACACATACTGTATTAAATATATTTGCATTATCTATTTTTTAGACAACTAACATACGTATTATGTATATTTAGATATTTAGACTTTTTATTTTTGGAATTACTACTTTTTTTTTCACCAATTTGAAACTGTCAATTTAATTACTACGTATTTTATATATGAACTTCATAATTATAATATAAATATATAAATCATACACATATATTTAATATACATATATAAAACACACACACACTATATATATATATATATATATATATATATATATATATATATATATATATATATATATATATTATATCCGGTTTTTCCGGTTTTTGGGACCGGTCCAACCGGTCGGACCAGTTGAACCATCGAACCAGTAAGATAGCCGGTTCGATGTCCGGTCCGGTTTTCAAAACCTTGATCATGAGTCCATTGGAGACATCACCAGCTATAGAGGTACATATCATTCTTTTATCAGTGTCCTATGTAATATTACTTTTTAATTATCTGGTATTTGTTTACCAAAGGTAAATATATAAAACTATTTTCAATATTTAAATGGATGATCTCCTTAACTGGGTCAATTTGTTGGATCAATAAATAATGTTTGTTTTATATGTTAAATCACATAAATATAATACATTACATCTAGATCGAAACTCAATTTATTGATAGACATAGCTAGCTACAAATATTTTACAAATAGAAAGGAATATGTTAATTATCATACACATACACGCGCTATTCATATCTTTTGACAACAAGACCTTTCTCTTTTCTTAATAGCAGGATTGTGTACTAAAAGTGAGAAAAAAATCCTTATTAACATCTTTTATAGTACAGTTTTGGCCTTTACATGCCTTCGCCATATTTTTGTCACATTTTCTCGTATGATTCTGTATACAATTTGAATTTGTTTATGTGCAGATGCATTGGAAGTGATTGGTCAAAGTGATTAGTCTTTCACACTTCATTTGAGACACATTAGGTTGGATGTGTTAGAGTGTTAAACGCATTTAGAGACCATGTTAAAAATATGTTCTTCACAATCAAACTAAGTTTGGAAAGTCAATGATTTTGTTAATGGTTAAATTTTCTAACTTTTTGAGGTTTGTACGAATGTAAGTTTTGCTTTGTTAATAGTTGAAGGTCTCATCTGGTTTATGGAAATTTGGAGGGACTCAACTGGACAAAAGGTTAAAGACACAGGACTGGGGCTCACTTCTTGGTTAACTGGACAAAAGGTTAAACACCAACGGAATCAATTACAGAATTAACGAGGTTTTAAGACCGCGCGTTGCGGCGGAATTTTAAGCAATATGTTTTTGTGACATAACCATAATCACGGATCTTTAGTTTATAAATTGGGGAAAAAGTTAAATCATAACTTAATCTTAAATGAAAAGCAACTGAAGGGATGATGCTTCCGGCTGTAATGTTTTTCTATTTCATCAACCTGTTTTCCTTTATTCATTAGCATTGTATACCGATAAAAAAATCTAACATTTCAGTATTTCACCATGTTTTTTACATGTTAATTGCAGTTAAACCATCCAAAATTCAATATACTTGCCAACGGCTAAAGCTTAAACCATCAAAATATTTATAGATTTAACATAATACTTTAAAGTAAATCATCAAAATACTTGACTTGAAGGAGCAAATGTTAATTAATGCATGAATCATTATTCACTTAAGTAATACAATTAATATATATTTTCATTAATGAAATAATGGTACCCAATTGTTCGGTTCTAGGCATCCAGCAGTTACGGATACGTCGTCTCGAAACCGGTCCCTAGCGGGTGCCCAACAGTTACCGATTCTAAAAAAATAAGAACCAAAACCGGTCACTGTCGGTTCCAACTTTTATGAACCGGCACAGTGATATCTGAACAGATTCAGTTCTAAAAGCAACAACCTGCTTCCAAATACTTCCTTAAATTTGTGGTGCACCCACCAGTGCAATTCACCTATCAAAGAAAGAGAACTAAAAAGATTCCACTTTTGGAGGGGACCAAAAACAATCACGAAGGCGATGCAAGATTGGTGGGACAACAGGGGCAATTTGGGAATTAGAATCATTCTCTATCATGGCAGTCTATATATTAGGCAGGGTATATCCTTATGGAAGAAGCAGAAAGAATTAGAAGTTTCATCTATCTAGGACAATTTGGGAATTAGGATCATTCTCTATCATGTCAGTCTATATATTAGGCAGGGTATATCCTTAGGGTAGAAGCAGAAAGAATTAGAAGTTTCTTCTATCTAGGGAAATTTGGGAATTAGGATCATTCTCTATCATGGCAGTCTATATATTAGGCAGGGTATATCCTTATGGTAGAAGCAGAAAGAATTAGAAGTTTCTTCTATCTAAGAGACCATAGCATCTCGAATAGCTATTTCTATCCTTCCTATTGTTCTTGTTCTTGTTATGAACTGAGTTTTAATACCAATCATTTGACTACCATTCAATTTCTTAATATTTGTACGTGAGTTCATAACAAATTGGTATCAGAGCAAGAGCAACCATCTGGGAGCATGGTTGGAGGAAAAGAAGGGGGAGGAACCCAGCTCAAGAGGGTGGAATCCTTGGAGGCAGAGTTAGGCCATTTGAACGACAGAATGGAGAATCAAGGACACCAGATCCAACAACAAGCTGATTCTATCGCTTCAATACAGACAAAGATGGACCAGAAGTTTGAAGAGGTGTTGAGGGCCCTCGGTAAAGGAAGGAAGTCAACAGAGGAAGAACTCTTCGACGAACCTGTGGTTTCAACGATGGAAACCCCGAAGGATAACAGTGGAGGCCCAAGACCGACGGGGAGCGGTGGTTTTGGTACAGGCGGAAGCAGCGACGGCGGGGCCCGGTCACAGGGAGGCGATCATGGCGATGGAACCAATTGGAGGTTTAGGAAACTGGATATGCCCTTGTTTGACGGTGAAAATCCGGACGGTTGGATCTTGAGGGATGAACGATACTTCAACTTTTACAAGCTATCAGAGGCTGATAAACTGGAGGCGGCGGTAGTAGCCCTCGAAGGTGACGCCCTCCTGTGGTTTCAGTGGGAACACAACCGTCGACCAATAATGCGATGGAAGGAGATGAAATCGCTACTCTTAAGGCAATTCCGACCGACGAATGCAGGTACGTTACACCAAAAATGGCTCACACTAACTCAGACCGGGCCGGTTTTAGAGTACCAACGGGCATTTATTGAACGACTCGCCCCGCTAAGCAACATACCCGATGGCATCATTGTGGGCCAATTCCTTAACGGGCTGAATGATGAAATTAGGTCAGAGGTCCAGATATTGAGTCCCATGTCCGTTGAAAACGCGATGACCCTGGCTATCAAGATCGAACAAAAATTACAATCTCAACTTAAACGCAAACCCCAACCCTCCCCTGTCACCCAGCGAACAAACACCATCAGAAGCATCTCAGGAACACCATTGATTACCCCCATCAAAACTACCTTCTACTCTTCCAAGGGCACAACGTTGCCTCCCATTCATACCACAATGAACCAATCAGTGAGAAATCGAGTATCAGGGGAAGTAAGAAGGTTGACGGATAAGGAATTACAACACAAGAAGGAGAGAGGGTTGTGTTACCGATGTGATGAAAATGGAATCCGGGGCATAAATGCAAAAAGGAGGAGTTGAGTGTGCTACTGATGCAAGAAGAAGAAGAACCCCAAACAGAGGAGCTCGTTACCCCTGTCCAGGAAACCACGATACTATCTGGAATTTGTTTGAATTCTGTCCTTCGAAAGGCAAGCCCAAAAACACTTAAACTCAGGGGCACTCTGGCAGACACGGATGTGGTGGTTCTTGTTGATCCAGGAGTCACGCATAACTTCATATCCTTAGTCGTAATAAAAAAAATGCACATACCAATCACACCCACCGCAGGGTTTGGGATGTCATTGGGAACAGGAAAGACAGTTTCCGGTCAAGGGAGGTGCCAAGGAATTCTGTTACAAGTGCAAGGATTGGGAATCAAGGAAGACTTCCTTCCGCTCACACTTGGAAGTTCTGATGTAATTCTGGGAATCTAGTGGTTAGAGAAATTGGGAGCAGTTACCACTAATTGGAAAACTCAACTAATGAAATTCCAAGTGAATGGTCAATGGGTAACCTTACGGGGGGACCCGTCCCTGGAACGAGCCATGATCTCTTTGAAGACCATGGTGAGAACTATTGGATCAGTGGGAGGGGGTATTTGGTCCATTATAACCACTTGGAGAAGTAAGCAACCTCACCAACTCTCCCAGCTTCTCTACCTTACCTAACCAAGGTGGTCCAAAGATTTGCAGGAGTGTTCAATTGGAAAGGTGGGCTTCCTCCTCTTAAGAGATATGCTCAAATCGGGGATCATCCAACCTTCACGAAGTCCTTTTTCTAGTCCAGCTCTATTAGTTAAAAAAAATGGGTCTTGGAGGTTTTGTGAAGATTATCGGAGTCTTAATAAGGTCACGGTTAAGGATAAGTTTCCGTTTCCTGTAATAGAAGAGTTGTTGGATGAGTTGCACGGGTCACGAATTTTCTCAAAACTTGATTTAAAGTCTGGCTACCACCAAATTCGGATGAAGGAAGAAGATGTTCCAAAGAAGACCTGAATGAAGAAATCAAGAATGACCAATTCATTCAACAAGTGAATTCTGACATAACGGAGGGTAATAAGGCGCACGTGGGATACTTAATCGTGAACAACAGGCTCTTGTATAAGGGCAGGTAGGTAATTCCTCATAACTCAAGGCTAATACCTACTCTACTCAAAGAATTTCATGATTCTGTGATTGGGGGACATGCTGGGGAACTGAGAAAAACGGTTCAGAAACACGTTCAAGGTTGTCAAGTTTGTCAAAGTCAGAAATCTTTAAACACGCATCCAGCCGGACTCCTTCAGCCTCTATCCATTCCAGAACATGTATGGGATGACATCTCTATGGATTTCATAGAAGGACTACCTAATTCGAAAGGGTACAATGCCATTTTACTGGTGTTAGACCGTCTCACAAAATATTCACATTTCATAGCAATGAAACACCCCTTCACAGCAGTCTCACTGGCAGCTACATTTGTCAAAGAAGTGGTAAGACTCCATGGGTTCCCAAGCACCGTAGTTTCCGACAGGGACAAGGTCTTCATGAGTTTGTTTTGGCGTGAGTTATTTAAGCTGCAGGGTACTAATTTACTCAGAAGCACCGCCTACCATCCCCAAACGGATGGCCAAACGGAGATAATCAACAAATCTATGGAGCTCTACTTACGTTGTTTCATACAAGGGAATCCTCGAACTTGGTCAAATTGGCACAACACAGCCTATCACACGTCCGGAAAGATCACACCTTTTAAGGCTTTATATGGTCAAGACCCACCACGGGTGCTTAAGTTACAAAGAGGGGAAACAGTTGTTTCTACTGTGGAGGAACAATTATTAGAACGAGATGCCATACTCGATGATCTCAAGGGACATCTGCTCCGAGCCCAACAAAGGATGAAGAGAGAGGCTGATAAAAACCGCAAGGAAGTTTCATTCAATGAGGGAGAATGGGTCTTTTTGAAACTGCAGCCTTATAGACAACAATCCGTGACCCATAGACCATTCCAAAAGCTGGCAGCTCGATACTACGAGCCTTTCATGATTATCAAGAAGGTGGGGTCAGTGGCCTACAAGCTCCAACTACCCAAGACCGCCAAGATTCACCCTGTGTTCCACGTTTCACTATTAAAAAAAAGCCATTGGGGACCAGGTAGCAAGGCCCACGCTACCAGCCCACTTGTCGGAGGAAATGGTTTTACAATGGGAACCAGAATCTGTTTTGGGGGTGAGAAGCCAAATAGAGAAGGAAGGACAAAGAATGGAGGTTTTGATCAAGTGGAAGGATGTACCACATTTCGAGTCCACCTGGGAAGACTTCAGAACTATCCAGCAAACATTTCCCGACTTTGACCTTGAGGACAATGTCAACCTTTGGGGAAGGAGTAATGTGGTGCACCCACCAGTGCAATTCACCTATCAAAGAAAGAGAACTAAAAAGATTCCACTTTTGGAGGGGACCAAAAACAATCACGAAAGCGATGCAGGATTGGTAGGACAGCAGGGCCAATTTGGGAATTAGGGTCATTCTCTATCATGGCAGTCTATATATTAGGCAGGGTATATCCTTATGGAAGAAGCAGAAAGAATTAGAAGTTTCTTCTATCTAGGAGACCATAGCATCTCGAACAGCTATTTATATCCTTCCTATTGTTCTTGTTCTTGTTATGAACTGAGTTTTAATACCAATCATTTGACTGCCACTCATTTTCTTAATCTTTTTACGTGAGTTCATAACAATATCACATAAATAACATTGCAATTTCATTTTCTGGAATTTAACTACCACATATTTGGTATTGTAAATCCATTAAATAACATTGAACTTTGTAAAACTATATTGCTATAGCTATAATTGGATATACTTTTAAGTTTTAACCCTTTAAAATCTATATATCATCAAGGAATTTATTGTTTACGTTCCTTTTATTAAATAATTTATTAGTGAAGCCAAGATGATAAGCATACCAACATATACATCAGGTGTAACAACAACTTCAACATCAACAATAATAGTAACGGGCTTGTAATCAAGTTCCAAATTATACATAGTTTTTCCCGGTCGATGCAATGTATTTTGGAAGAGCCTTGCACTGTATGGAGTTTGAGAACCTATTACCTATAATTATGCAAAAAAAAAATCAAACTATACATTTAACTTTTTTTTTCTCGATAGATGCAATGTATTTTGGAAGAAATGTTGCTAAATGCACAAGATAACAACATACTCTTAATTACTGTTTCATTACAAAATCCTAATGTTACTCACAATTATTTTTCATTAAAAATTGTATTATTATAATAAGTATTTTTTTTTTCAAATTTACATGCCCTAGTAAGCAAAAAAATTGAATGTGTGATGTTGTAGTTGAGTAGATTTATAAAAAAGATGAAGATAAAAGGTAAAGTTTTCATAGATATAAAGAATTGCACAAAACTTTATAAAAGAAATGAAATTAAACAAAGAGGTATGAGAAGTGATATGCGAGTTTTCAAAAAGGGACTCGGTATATTCAAGAAAAAAACTTGAAAACCTATTTAAGGAAAAATGAGTGCATAACTTACCAGGAGCATCTCATTTAGACATGGTTCTAAATAACGTAAAGCGTGACTTGACAGCATACCCGAGCCTCAAGCTTTGAGAGACATGACGAGGCCACGGCGTTTTTCAAGGCGTGACAAGGCGGCAAAATTTTATTTATTTGTATATATTTTTACCATCATCAAATAATATAAAAACCCATATATTAACAAAAAACCCCAATGTTTTCACATGTCAATATACATTTTATCTAACATATATATAGTCACCGATTGACAATTATACTAAGAGTTTACAAAAGTGTCAGTTTTCAAAACGTCGGTGAGCATTACAAAAGCATGTTACATCCTTAGATTAGTAACTGTCTCCATTTCTATCCACAAAACCTTCTTCATCAGAATTAAATTCAAAATCTTCTTCACATTCCACTTGTTCTTCATCCGACACAAAATCATCATCATGGACTTCTCTAGCCTCTTAGTTTGCATTATCAATTGCTTCTCCACTAACCTCCAAACCCTCACCATCTTCCATTTCATCATCGTCATCATTAATAGCAACAATCCACGATTGCGCCTTACTAGCATCAGGAGAACGCAATACATCTATATTTTGGTTATTATTTCTTTCCCATTTGTTGATGAGTTCGGAATTAAACTGAACAAATACAAGATTGTGTAATCATTGACTATCAAGCCTATTTCTTTTCTTTGTGTGTATATTAAGTAACAAATTATTACTTACCCCTTCAAAAGCACTTCAATTTCTTTCACAACCAGAGGAGCTAGTGGTTAATGAGAGGATCTTTATAGCCATCTTTTGCAAAGTCAGTGTTGAATTTCCATAAGTCATCCACCAAGTACCTAACAAATAAAAAGAAACATTAAGCTGTTTTTTTGTCTTGTTTTACAAGTATTTTCTGTGCAATTTTAGAAGTTTTATAACATACCTGGATCATAAGAACTGCTATTTTCAGAACACCCCTTTGCTGCCAATATTCTTCCAAAATCTCCTTTTTCCTTGTTCTTTGGGAGCTCCATATTTATCACCTGATCTTGCTTGTCAATGTCATCACGAAAAAACTTTTCAACACATAAAAATTGCATCCGAAACCATGACATTATCTTTTATGTTTTGATCTTTATATAAATAATAAGGATTTAATAGGTAAGCCGTCATGTGTAGTGGACTATCAAGCCGACCTTTTGCTCTTGTCTCAATAACTTCTATGATAGAACGGTAGTTAATCTCCACATTATTGAAAGCCATTTTTATATCTTCTTTGGCCTATTGAAGCTCTCCATACAAGAAGCCCATTGATGCCTTTCGATCTCCATCAGCTAGTCGAAGGAGTTTGACTAACAGGGAGAAAACCTTCAAGCATAAGTTTATCCCATTCCAAAAAGATCGGCTTATCACGATTGCATAAGCTCCTAATCCATTTTTTTCTAGACCATTTTGATTGTGTCCATTCATGACTAGTAAACATATGTTTTTAACTTTTCTTGCTTCTCCATCAAACTTTGCAACGTAAGAAATGTTGTAGCAAACCTAGTAACTCCCGGCCTCACAATGTCCTTACACTTTGTAAACTTCCGCATTAATGCCAACGTCCAATGATGTGCATAAATGAAAATAGTTAAATTTTTTGCCTTAGCAATCCATTCTTTGAATTTACCTTCTTTACCAATTGCTTCAAGCATAAGATCGATTGTGTAAGCAGCACAAGAAGTCCAAAACATGTTTGGCCTCTTCTCTATCAACAATTTGGCAGCCGCCAAATTATTGGCAGCATTGTCTGTCACAACCTGTATCACATTTTGTGCCCCAACATCTTCAATACACTTGTCAACATAATCAAATATGAACTGCCCTGTGTGTGAATCTGTGGAACATTCAATAGAAGAATGAAAAGTTGTTCCTTCTTTTGAGTTCACACAAAAATTCATTATGCTTCTTCGTTTTCGATCAGTCCAACCATCTATCATAACTGAACAACCATTACATGCCGACTCTTCTTCTTGTTTCTTGAGAAGACCTTTAGTTCTCTCAACTTCTTCCTTCAATAATGGCTCCCTAAGTAGATATTGACTTGGAGGACAATAACCTCGACCATATTGCCCAACTGCTTCAACAAACTTCTCAAAAGCATCGTTATCAATCGAATGAAAAGGAACACCTGATTCATACATCCATCGTGCACAGAACTGATGTACACTATGTGTCCGTTCTTTGGAAAGTGCATCTAAAAGATTTTGTTGACGCATATTGAGAAATGGACCTTCGGGGTTGATAGGATTTGTAAACTTGTCCAACGGACGCAAATTGCTTCGCCTTTTTTTCTTGGACCCTGCATAAAACTCATTATCTTCTACTTCAATTTCAACCTCTGCCCTCATTTCTTCTTCTCGTTTTCTTTTTGCTATCTTATCCTCTTTTGGGTTCTCAAGTAAAGCAACACACACAGCTTTATCTTCTTTGCTTGCATTCTTACATATGGCTACACCATTTCCTTTTAGTCCTGAAACATGGTACTTTAGCCTAGTGATTCCAGCTTTACATATAAATCCACAAAGCTTGCATTTGATTGCATCTTTATTTAGAGGATCACACAGTGTGCCACAATTCCATCCTGGATCATCCGAGTTTCTTTTCAAGGGTGCATTTGCATTAGAACTACCTTCTGTTGCACCATCCAAATTAGAATCTTGATCAACATTAGCCATTCTTGAATAAAATTATAATATATCCTGTTTGAAAAAAAAAGTTGAAAACAAATTAGTAGCTTAAAAACATGCTATATATAAGTTTCTAGATCAAAAGGGATGCAGAAAACAATGAGCTCATTGAAAAGTGAAAACAAAACCTCTAAGAGAAAATTAACCGCAACTTATACCAGTGAAAGAGAAAACAAAATCTCAAAAGGGATGCAGATTACTTCTTGATCCCCTGTTCAAATGGAGAATACTTATAACATATGAAACTAACCACTTCAAGTTTTGTATGATTGGAGAATGAGTTTTATGGTTGAAATCAACACACTAGAGAGATATAACATATAAAACTAGGAATTACCGATTTATAATTAAAAGTCTTAACATGTATGCAAGGGTTGTGAGATAAAAACATAGAACGTATAAAACCGAGGAAGGCATAGAAATGGTGGTGTAGATGAAGATTGAATGAATCATTGAATGTATAACATAATCCAACAGAAGCAAAAATTTTCTTAGGCTTAGTGGTTACCTCTCGATGCACGTAGGTGAAATTGAAGAACAAAAGCAGGTTGTAAATATTTCAATCAGTGAAGAACTATAGTCGATTACATTGAGTAAAGAACCGAAGCAGCGCAACAGGTGAAGATCAAGTGATGAGACCGGTTTTGTAAGTGAAAAACTGAAGAGAGTTCGATCGAGTGATGAGATCAGTGTAGAGAGTTCAATCGAGAGAGCATGGTGTTGAATTGTAAGTTGTATATTTTGGTTTTTACTGTCCCGATTTCCCCTTTTGATGTAATGGACTTGATTTTTACTTTTTTAGTTATTTAGTATTTACTTTAGCCCAGTATTTACTTTAGCCCAAAGTCAGCAAAGTCAACAGGCCGATAACGCGTTACGAAAAAAAAACGCGAAATGGCGCGCCTTACTACGTTATTTTTCCGCCAAGCTTTACAATGGCGCCTTGGTCGTTTTCGGGACGGCTACCCCCCGCCTCGGCGCCATGGCACACCTTGGCACCGCCATGGCGCGTTATTTAGAACCCTGCATTTAGATAATGAAGTCTCTACATTTCTTATGCTTCCTCGTAATTAGATCATGTCAACTGGTTGATTTTTTAAAGCACTCAATCAATGATCAAATTTATATTCAGATAGTGAAATATTACCATGAACCAGGGTAGAGGATTTAGAGAAAGTAAAACCAAAAAAGTTAAAACGATCTCCAACTTCAGTCTGGTCATATTATGCCCGGAAATATTTCTCAAACTCATCTCCAAGATCCTGAAACAATTAGTTTATTACATAAATAATCCATGAGAATATGATGAAACAAACTTTATTTGTACCTCAACAGAAAGGCCTTCACCCTCAACCATGGAAATCCCATCTCTGTTGACCATAAAGCGAATAACTTGGGAGGAGAAACCCAAAAATGTATTAAGATTGGGGAAAATGTTACCAACAATACCCAAGTTTACCGGAAAGATGCTTTTGAGATAGCAACATCAGTAATCAATATTCATAGTATCTTTCAAAAGCCATATTTGGAAACCATTTGGGGCATTTAATAATAGAGGTTATAATTGTACTTATTGAAAGATGAAGGACCTGTTTGTATATATTGAGAGTTAGTTAGTTTGACTCTCTTTCCTCTTGTATATAAACGATCTGTAATCTTTCATTTCAATTTGAGAAATTCATTTCATTCATTAAAAGTGTAATATTAAAATCGAACACATATTATTCAACATAGAAAATGGCAGTATAAGCAATATGAAATAATAGGATATAATAACATTTATCTCCGATTTAAAGACCCATGGTTTCCACCATATCTTTTGTGTGACCCTAAAATCAAAACTGACGATCAAGCCCTGTCCAAATAATATATGTAAACCATACTTAGAAAAGGAAAATGGAAAGTTGTAGAAGGGAATGAAGTAGTACCTGAAGCTACAAATCCCCAATATGAAAATACCCTTTTTTCAACATATTTCATAAATCCGTCTCGGAAATAAGTCATTTTCAATGTTGTATTCAGGCAACCTAAAAGTAACAAAAGATTATTCATGTTCATCCTTTTGCTGCTACACACAACACCTCTACAACAAAAAATTTAAAATAAAATAAAAAGAATAATAAGATAGAACAGGGGAAAGCTAGAGAACCTGCTTGAGTGCGTTTTTTGTCAAATGTTCTTCTTTCAGAGGTTGCAAAACATTTCAACTTCCACGAATCAAAATTAAATATTTCTCCTAAATAACAAATCGATTAACCAAAACTTTAGACAAACCCATATCGACATGTTGTAGTACGGTTCTTTGAAAATGAAATCGTGTTGGGTTTTTATAGAAATGAATTAGATGAAAAAGAAGGAGAAAGCATTGGGGGAAGAGGGCGGTGTGATTAGTTGATGGTTAATAAGAACTAAAATTCAATGAATATGTGAATAATGAACTAAAATGAGGAATTGTTACCTTTGGCTTGCTGTCTTGGGAGCTCTATTTCAACCACCGTCCTGTCAGCTGCTTCTTTTATGGCCGTTGAAGACCATGGACAGTTGCAAGGATGGCCTGCTGAAAGGCTCTTGATGTCGACTGAGAGAGAAGGGAGATGATTTTTTTCATCTCTTTACCCAAAACCCTAAGCGAGCATGTAGAGAGAGAAAGAGAGAGACCTTACTTATTAACCGGGAACTCCTTCATCATATGCTAGTGATTGGTAAGAATTTGTCATATTCACAAATATCTGAAGACCTTGGGCTTAGTTTCCCGCTCTGATGACTTCCGATGCCTGCATTCGCCAGACCGACGGGCGACGACGTTAATGGTGGTTGTGGGGTGACGATCAGGGTTCTTTGAATTAGAACAAACATATTTTTTTATGAAGCGTGTGAGGATTTTTGAAGGGATGGTGGGGAAGGGGAAGTACGGGAGAAAGCTGTCAAGCACAATGCAAAGAACTGGTGTAACAAAGTCTTCAAGCCACAGTGAAAAGCACCGGAGACAGGAACAAAGTCTTTGAAACTACAGTAAGAATCACTGTAGTTTGATTTGCTCTTATATACAGTGTTTTAACATTTTCACAAATGTTAATATTTACAATTACAATTACAATTACAATACAATGCCAGTTGCATTATTATCACAAAACTTCTCTTTCAGGGTTAAAATTGTCCAACCATGAATGAAAATTGATACCAAGTCCACATCCCACACCAACTCCAGTCATTACAATTTCCACCTCCAAGTGAAGAAAATAGATTTTGGCGTAAATAGCCCTAAGGGGTATAATCTCATTATAGGAACACATTACAATAACAAGATAAACAATCAGATCCTAAAACTATGGATCTAGTATTTACAACAACTCCATCTAAACATTCAAATATGAGACTTATCTATTATCCGTTTTACATTCCCCCTCAATCTTAACTGGAGCAAGGTTAAGATTGCTACACAAATGTTCCAGCATATTCCTTGTAGTTGGCTTTGTGAGACCATCTGTTAATTGATCATTAGATAATATAAAACGCACATCCAAAGCTCCCATTGTCACCTTTTCTCTAACAAAATGAAAATCAACCTCTATGTGTTTTGTCCTAGCATGAAACACCGGATTAGTTGTTAAATACGTGGCTCCCAAATTATCACACCACAAAACTGGTGCTCTTGTTTGAACAACTCCCAATTCCTTAAGTAGTGATTGTATCCAAGTTGCTTCAGCTTTACCATTTGCTAGTGCCTTGTACTCAGCTTCAGTACTAGAACGAGATACTATAGGTTGCTTTCTAGAACTCCAAGCAATCAGGTTAGGACCTAAAAATATAGCAAAACTACCAGTGGACCTCCTGTAATCTAAACAACATGGTCAATCTGCATCTAAACAACCTGCCCAATCTGCATCTGTGAAGACACTCAACAAGGTTGAGGATGACTTTCAAAAATTTAATCCCATAGTTGAAGTTCCTTTGATATATCTAAAAATTCGCTTGACAGCCTCCCAATGAGCATTAGTGGGTCTAGAGAGGTATTGGCACACTTTATTGACAGGAAACGAGATATCAGGTCGTGTGAGAGTAAGGTATTGTAATCCACCTACCATACTTTTGTATTTAAAAGTGTCCGCTTCATTTAGAGGTGTACCAACATCCAAAGCAAGCTTGTCTGTTACTAGCATGGGAGTTGAAACGCTTTTACAATTCAACATGTTTGCACGACGTAGAAGATCAGTGGCATATTTATGCTGATGAAGAGTAATTCCCCCTGAACTGTGAAGCACTTCAATTCCTAGAAAATAAGTGAGACGCCCAAATCTTTAATTGGAAATTCCAATGACAAGGCAGCAACAAGTTTATCAACAACTATAGAACAAGAACCGACAATAATAATATCATCTACATACACGAGCATGTATATAGTGACAGAACCTTCACGAAACAAGAAAAGAGAGGTGTCAGCTCGCGAGGAGGAAAAACCAAGGTAGTACAGTTTGTCACTTAAGCGAGAGAACCATGCTCGTGGAGATTGCTTCAAACCATAATCGCTTTGTGTAGTTTGCATACATGAGTAGGATGATATGAGTCCTCAAAACCAGGAGGTTGTTGCATGTACACATCTTCGGCTAAGAACCCATGTAAAAATGCATTATTGACATCAATTTGACGAAGATGCCAGCCACGAGACACAGCTAAAGCGAGGACCAATCTAATAGTGGCAGGTTTTACCACAGGGTTAAACGTATCATGATAATCTAGACCATATTGTTGTGTGAAACCACGAGCTACCAATCGTGCTTTGAGTTTGTCAATAGATCCATTCGGCAATTGTTTGACCTTGTAAATCCATTTGCACCCCACAATATTTGTACCAAGATGTCGGGGAACCAATGTCCACGTTTTATTTTGCTTAAGGGCATCAAATTCTTGTTGCATTGCTTGCTTCCACGCCGGATCAGTTAAGGCCACATGATGAGAAGTGGGTGCCTCAGAAAAGAAAGCACGTTTAGTTGAGTCATAACGTATTGTACCATCTGTAAACATTCGAGGAAATAACTTTCCCGCACGAAGTCTAGTGTGAGCTGCTGGAGGTGACACAGGACTATTAATTTGGATAGTCGGGCTTGACTGCTACGAATCAGATGAGGAAGCAACAGATGACGAATTTGTTGTAGGAGATGGCAACGGAGTGACAGTTGGCATATTGTCAGTTGGTGTTTCAGGTTCCGGAGAAACAGATTTTGATTTGGGTAGTTCTAATGTGATATGTTCAGGTGGAAGTGACTGTGATTTGTCATATGTGGTAGGCATGGGTACCGGAGGAAGCGATGACGACACATGTGCACGAGGTGGTACTGCAACTACATGAGAATCATTAGAATATAACAGTGATAAGTCATAGTTTCTCATATGATCATTAATAATTGTCAGTTCTTTCTGAGGATATGAGGCTGAGGTAGAGTGATTAGATGGTGATGATGAGCAATTACTATTAGCAAAAGGAAATTGAGACTCATCAAAGATAACATCGCGAGAGATATAGATACGACCCGTAGTTCTATCCAAGCACTTATACCCTTTATGAAGAGAACTATATCCCAGAAAGACACATTGCTTGGATCGAAAATTGAGTTTTTGAGTATTGTATTTCCTAAGATTCGGCCAGCAAGCACACCTAAACACTCGAAGAAAAGAATAGTCAGGTTTGATTTTAAGAAGACGTGTAATAGCTGTAAGATTGTTAAGATTTCTAGTGAGCATACAATTGATAAGATAACATGAAGTTAAGAAAACTTCATCCCAAAATCTAAGAAGAATTGAAGAGTGCACAAGAAGTGCTAATCCAGTCTCAACAATATGACAATGCTTGCGCTCCGCCACACCATTTTGAGATGAAGTATGTGGGCATGAGACACGATGGGCAATTCCAGATTTTTGAAAATATTTATGAAGTTTTTGGTATTCACCACCCCAATCAGACTGTATGCTTTTTATTTTGACATTTAATAGGCGTTCCACATGAGTTTGAAAAGTATAAAACACTTGCTCAACATCTTATTTATTTTTAATAAGATAGATCCAAGTAAAACGACTGTAATCATCCAAAAAACTGACATAATATCTAAAACCTCCACTAGACGTCTGAGTTGGTCCCCAAACATCAGTATGAACCAGCTCAAGAAGAGATGAAGTGACACAACCTGAACTATGATAAGGTAATTGGTGACTCTTAGCTCGTAGGCAAGCATCACAAACAAATGACTCTCTAGAAAAAGAACAACCTATTTTATTTGACTTCAAAATAGACTTGACTACTGTGGAATTTGGATGACCGAAACGCCTATGCCATTGAGATCTTGAGACTTTGACACTGGAAAAAGCTTGAGGATGACTACGACTGATCGGTACTGGATAGAGTCCCCCTTTACTTCTACCGAGGAGGATTGTTTTCTTCGTGGCAATGTCCTTGACAAAAAAAACATTAGGATAGAGTTCAATAAACACATTGTTATCTGTGACAAGTCTATGAGCAGATAAAACATTTTTGGTAATATGAGGCACATGAAGAACGTTCTTGAGAACAAGGGGTCTATCAATACCGGGAATTAATGAATGACCAATATGAGAAATAGACAGACCTGATCCATTTGCCACCTGAACTTGATCCTTTCCAGTGTATCTTTCTTGAGTTGTTAGCCGATCCAAATCATTAGTAACATGATCTGTCACTCCACAGTCCATAAACCAGCCACTATCAGGATGATAGCCTCATGTAGTCACACTATTTCCACTGCAAAAATCATCAGCCTGATAGGAGTGATTAAACCTGTTTCTGCAAGTTAAAGTTTTATGACCTTGTATTCCACAAACTTGACATCGTGGCCCACCATTGTTTCTTCCATGGCCGTGGCCACGTCCTCTACCGCCACTGCCTCTGTAGTTGCCTCTGTGATAGTTGTTGGATGCGTGATATCCTTCATTATTACTGCTGTTATTGCTGTTAAAATTTTGATGCGGTGAACTGGGTTCTGGGCGAGTCACACTGTTTGTTGATGAAGTGAACTCGACTGTATTTCCCATAGCTACAGATTAGGCTTCATGAGAAATCAAGTAGGAGTAGAACTCAGGCAATGTTACCTTTCGTTTGTCGCTCAGAACTGTAATAGCTGTGAAAATGTCACTGTGACCGGGTCCTAATCCGGCCAAAATGTACCCGATTACTTCCTCATCATTCATGGGTTGTCCAATATTTGCCATTGTATCGGCAAACCCTGTCATCTTCTGATAGTACTCAGCTATACTCATGTCTCCGTTCTTGGTAGTTGACAATTGTGTTCGTATCTGAATCGAGTTGCCCCGATGTTGGGCAGAAAACATAGTGTGAAGCCTGGTCCACAATTCATGAGCAATATTGCTATTTCAAATCAATTGAGGGAGAACCTCTTCAGTCATGGAGGATAGCAATCCTCCAATTACCGCCTGATCTTGAATCATCTAGGTTTGATACTCTGGATTGGGTGTTTTCTTAATCACAGATGGGGATTCTTTATCAGCAGGACTAATTTCACTGGATATTGTAGCCTCTGGTGCCGGTGTGGTCCCATCGAGGTGCCCAAAGAGTTGCACTCCTCGAAGAATGGGCACAGCAAGAAATTTGTACGTGTCAATTTGCACGATATGGTAGTGGCTATGGTGGAGGATTTGACTGGTGTAGTCATTGTAGAGATGCTCGTTGAAAGAAGAACAAGAAGCAGGAAGGGTTTTTTTTTAGGTTTAGGAGGGGATCTTGGCTCTGATACCAAGTGAAGAAAATAGATTTTGGCGTAAATAGCCCTGAGGGGTATAATCTCATTATATAGGAACACATTACAATAGCA